AGATTGGTGGTTTGTTCCCGTCAAGGGTAAAGAAGCGAGTTTTCCGTGTACCTGAGCATTTACACTGAAGTTACATTTGCACTCATATTTCACTTTTATTTCAGGTCAGAAAACCTGGAAAAAAATCTGCAATAACGCCTCTCATACAAGGGACATTCCAAAAATTGGACTGTCATGAGGCAGACCGATCAGAAGTCCAAAAGTAATCCCGCAGTGTCAGACGGAACCTGGAGGCGGTAGATAGTGTTCTGCTTTTTGAGACCAGAGGTGGTACAGCGCAGTGCCCCCATACAGTTTTTTCCATGTGAATTTGTTCATGTACAAATCCAGTAGTGTCCTCTCCGTCCCGTACCACGACTTGCGCCCCTCCTTAAATTTCTGCCATAAAGACTCAGTGCTGCTTGTGTAAGTACCGGTCTCAGGATCAATAAAGTGGAGACTGTGGTTGACAGTCTCATGCTGGTACCCCTCTGGCATGTCCTTGATGGTACTATATGCAGCCCACTGATCAGACACTATAGTTGTTCCTGGAACAAAATACTGCCTGATCAGTGGCAGAAAGGTAGCAGCGTCTCGTCGCTTCACTGGGACGACAAAGCATTTATTGGTCCCTTGCTTAGTGCCCCTGAAACACCACTGCTTTTCTATAACCCTACCTCTGGTAGGGAGTGTCTCGTCAATCTGGACTACCTTACCAGAGTCCCCGATCTTTGGAGGATGCCTCAAGAAATGTTCCGTGCAAACATTTCTAGAATAATCCATGTAATCAACTAAAGTGTGGGAGCCTAGGTTGCTTCCCGTTTCACAAAGCATTTCCGCTGCTATATCTTCGTATGTGAGCCTTCTGTGTTTGGCCCAATACGCAGATAAGCAGAAAACATCTTTTAAGCTCAATTTAAAGTGTTTGAAAAATGTGGCGCTATAGACACTCACTTTCCTCGCAGTTACGGATTGGAAACCAAAAGCTGTAGCGTAAAAACTGGAATCAGTGCAGCAGCATTGCTACATCGTAAGGTTGGTGGCTTCGGAACAAGAAGCTCCAGTATGGAAAGTGGGAGCATTACCACGACACCACACTACCACACTCATGCAAGCGTTTTAAGGTATACATAAACGTGTAAATAAGCGAGTAGGGACGTTGTGGCGGCGCAGCAGGGCTTTGCTTTGCTCAACCCTGCT